TTCAATTGGTGGCCCACTTGCTTAAAAGCATTCCCCTTTCAATTGGTTGCTCAACCACAGAACCCAAAGCCAAACCCCCAGTGGTAAGTCTGCTCAGGAAGAAGTGGTTGCAATACTAAAGTAGAATTGCAAAAAGGAAGTGGCTGCAATACTAAAGTAGAATTGCAAAAAAAGTGGCTGCAATACTAAAGTAGAATTGCTGGCTGCAATACTAAAGGAAGTGGCTGCAATACTAAAGTAGAATTGCAAAAAGGAAGTGGCTGCAATACTAAAGTAGAATTGCAAAAAGGAAGTGGCTGCAATACTAAAGTAGAATTGCCAAAAGGAAGTGGCTGCAATACTAAAGTAGAATTGCAAAAAGGAAGTGGCTGCAATACTAAAGTAGAATTGCAAAAAGGAAGTGGCTGCAATACTAAAGTAGAATTGGGCCCCAAAATCCTCCATTGTTTGGACGTCCCAAAAGTGCACCCCCATTGTTTTGGCGCCTCCATTGTTCAGGGGGGAGGGGGGGGGGGCCCTTTATTAATCAAGTGCTAACATTATTTTAGGTGACCCCATTTTTGTTAAAGGGTCAGAAGGAGACACCAGGTACCTGAACCCTCAAACTACGGTTTCCCGTTTTTGAGGGTTCAAGGGTCAGAACGGAAAACCTTCAAGAGGGCCGAACATCGACCTGCAACCTTGATAATGATAGGCAACCAAAACTCGGTGACGACCCCTCCACACCCCTGTGCCCGAACATCGGGAAGCTGAACGAAACGGATCTGGATCCAAGCGGAGCCCAAGGTCGGTCTGAATGAGAACTAAGTGTGGAGCAAGAACCCATCTTTATGCGGGTCAATGACCAACCATTATTTTGGGTAATGACCAACCTTTTTTTAAGGGTCATGGAGACTCCAGATAGTTTGAGAATCCAGGAATAGGTATGCCTTGTACTTTCTGTTGGGGGAGAAGAGCGAACATATGTCACGCCGAGCGCGAACAAGGCTTGAACATACCATTCGAAGTGGCGTGGACCCCCCAACAGCCCATTTGCTCAACGACCCGAACAGAAAGCGAAGCCAGCCAGGTCTGGGGTCCATGTCATTTTTTCTGCGCAACCCACTGCACAACAAGGAACTAAAGGGCGGAACTGAACAACTGACGCTGTGCCAAGTAGAGCTACGTCAAATGCTCCATGCAAGCCATGCGTTTTCTTCTTGCGGCCCCGGAAGTGAGGATTCACACTTGGCTTCTCTCACTTGGCCAAAAAAAGGTGCCACCACTTTTTAGGCCACCACTGAAATAAAAGGGAGCCACCAAGGAAAACGTGTAAAGTGCGCCCACTGGCTGGGTGAGTTCTGGAAAAACGTCCGGGAAGCCACGTGCTCATCTGGCGGACCCAGGGGCTGGTTTGAGCTCTTGAACACTCGCTTGCCGCCAAGCAACAAAAACTGTGCTCACATTTTGGGACGTCTCACTTCCGACCGAGTAAAATTGGCCAAAAGACGTGCCCAAACTCTCTTTGTTTACCACTAAAATGGGTACATGGGCGTAAAGTCCCAAAAAGTATAAACGCCACTCAATGGATCGTTACTACCACGTGGTTTGTTTCATGGCATGAAAACGGTCTACGCCCAAGTGACTCAAGTCCGATGAGCCCAAAGCCCCCCCGCCTGCAGGTTGCCATGCTCCAAGCCAACACCCCCCCCCCAACACAAAAGGAAAGTGAAACTCGCTGGGGAGAAAAACCTTCTTTTCTTTTGGGGGGGGCGGGCTACATAGCCTATAGCTTTGCTTTCCAGGCGAAACTGCAGTAGTGGATGTTTTGGACCATTTTCAGGGAACCTCCATAGTAATTTGAAATAGATCTTAGTGATATTAATGTGTCCTTTTCTTGAGGGTACCTCTTTGTTGTCCATTTCATGGGTCCCCTAAAAAAACGCCGCATATATCTTATTCGTCCGGTCTCGGGGCGGCTTCTAGATGCCAGGCATGGTGCGGGTTTGAGCCAAGCAGCGGATCCCCAAAAGACCTCACAGCTGGGGGTGCGCACCTCCTCGGTCTACACCAAGGGGTGCTCTTGTTCCAAAGACCCCCCACACCCAATACCCACTTTTTCAGTGTATCATGTCGAACCTCTACAAAAAAAAGAGGTATTTCTATTCCATGGAAAACCAGGTTTTCCCAAAAACACCCTGAAAAAAGCGGGTATTTTAAGTAGGGAGAGGAAGAGGGGCATTTAGGCCAAGAGGCGAATGAGAGATGCGAAAACTGCAAACCGATAGAAAGGAAAGTGTCAGAGGGGTCAGGACTGATTTTTGTTTGTGGCCTGGACACAACTATTTTTCCTTGGCTCTCCACTAGAGAGGTTAGAATAAGGGTGCCCTGTTTTCTGTAGTCAGTTTTACTAGGGGAACCCTCCCAACCAAAAAGGGGATGAGAAGGGCACCTAGCTGGAGGACCTAGTTTCAATGGTCTTGCCGCTGCAGCTCGGAATCGATTTCAGAGTCACTTTCCTGACAAATCCAAGCCCATCCTGGGATTCCTAGCCTGGCATCCTCTTCCTGCAAATCGCAGCCACATCCGAAAACTCGTGCTCGATGCGTCAGCAGATCCAGGGCCAGGGGTCCCTTCTTCGGCCTTGCGTCACCGACACTTTCTCACATCCGTATACGTGCGACAGTACGAGAGGAGACATGGCCATTCATCAACTTCTCCCGCCCGCTTCCCCAAAATCCCCAGAAGTGGGACAGCTTCTCAGTTCTCAGGGTTGAACATGTTTAGGGCACCCATTCAACGAGAACCGAAACTCTCAAGCTACCCGTTAAAAAAAGACGGGCGCGGCCCTCTTTGTGGTTGGCACTTACCAACTTTCATGTTGGCACTTACCTGGGCTGTCCTGAGGTCCCCTAAAAGTAATTACCCTTACTCCCACTAACATGGCACCCAGGGTTCTTTAAAGAGGCCATCTATCGGTGCCAGGTTAGTTGGAGCTCCACGAAACCAACCAGAAACCAACCAGAAACACGAAACCACGGATAAATGGACACACCCCCACTGAAGCCGCCAGAAACCACCAACATTTCTAAGGATCTGCGCAGCTCGGAACTGGCAAGTGACCGGTTTGAGCACAAAAACAACTGGTGAAACACCAAACCCTCTGAGGCTGCAACCCCTGCTGCGGATTCTCCAGCACCAGGTTGTCCTTAGCCAAATCGACAAATGGACACATCCCCTGACCCGGTCCCCCAAACTACCCATACAAAAATGGAATTCACCCCCCAAAATCGGGCAATCACCCACTCTCAAACTCAATAAAAATCCATCATTGCCCTCAAATGATGGTTGGTGCCTTTCTTCCAGGAACTCTGGAGAGTTTGGGGTTGCCTTGAGAGAACCAGGAGAAGTGCAGGGCAACGTGCCTTAGAATCTGCCCCACCTGCGACACGCCTGTTTGCAGCTCCCAGTTCCCTGCCTGAAGACTGGCACATTGGCACCTCAAAAATCAGGTCCCTTTACCGCAGAGAGACTCAAAGGGAAATTCGGCGGTTGCCGTCACTCCACGATTCCACCATCAGCCTTCCCCTCAAACGGGAAGGACATGTTACGACATGGTTTTGTTGGGTCCATGACCAGTGACAAATTCAGCTCCAAAAGGGAAAGCACGCCTTCTCCGAATTGCGATTTCTATTTTTCATCAAGATCTTTATTGATACAAAGTGCCTGGTCCATCAAACTAATTACCCATCAACAAAAAGGAGACCACTGTAGACAATGTTCGGGCAATTTCCGATGTTTATGTCTAAGGGCTTTTGTAATACGCCTTGGGATTACGCCCGCTGGGAAATGACCCCACTTTGGCATATTTCCGGGAAAAAATCATGTTATTTTGGACCATTTTGGGCGGCTGTAATCCCAGGGTGTAACACAACAACCCTTAAGTTGTGGGTAGTTTTAGGGTCTATAAGGTGTTTTATCATCCCAAAATAACCGATGTGTTCAGCCAGGAAAGCCGATTCTCCGCAGCTGGGAGCAGGGCAACGAAGATGTTGCCTGCAAGGGCCGACACCAACAAGAACCCCCTATATACTCCAAATAGCTGTTTTTTCTGGTATTTTTGGGGAAACCTGGTTTTTTAAGGTAAATACTTTCGTTGTTAGTAGAGGGCCGACATCACACCTTGAAAAAGTGGGTATTTGGGTGTAGGGGGTACCTGGACCCTCAAACTGCTCTCCAACATAGCGTTAAGGGTAGCTTGTTCCAGGTAAACCCAATCCAGCAACCCGCAACGACGGCTTTTTGAACGTGGCAAAAGCAGTTGGTGCTGGGCATACTTCCCAGCAACTCAACACGCAACCCCGCCAAAAAGACACCGGGAATCACCTTTTGATCGCCCCCCTCCCTTGTGTCTAGAAAACCCCCCGTGTTGGTTCTTGTTTACTTTCAGTACTCTTTTTGCATGGCTTGTTTCAAGGGACCTGGACCCTCGAGCTTCTCCTAAATTACCCCAGTCCAGGAACTCAGGGAGTGAGATTCAGGGCCCCCAAGTTGGCCAGCCTGAGCCAAACCCCCAACCAGCTGGGCTCTTTCTTCACTCACCAGCGGCGCCTTTTAAACCGAGCAAGCAGCACCGAGCAATGCTCTAACGATATGGCAACGCATGTAACGCCCTACACTTCAAACGGTGAAAGGTTGAGAACCCTGTCATGCTTCGTCGTTGACGTAAACCATGTTCGCACAACTGCCCCAGGATCCTGCTGGACTTTGGTGGCCGTTTCTTCTTACATTCCAAGCGCTGATCGCCCGAAACTCCAGCAAACAAATGGTTAAGAAGTACAGCTAGTCACTTCGATGCTCCCACTAACCTGCAAAAGGTAGTCTGAAAGTGGTTCTTGGCTCGTGAAGGGCCCCCCCCCTACTCCCAATACCCATATTGCTCAGGGTATGATAGGGTATGATATCAACCGGTGACTCAAAAAGGAGGCATTTACCCTGAATGTAAAGAAACAAAGGTATTTGGAGTGGGTAGTCGGGTTTCAAGTACTTCCCCGAGATCAAGCGGTTTGACCGAGCCGACGAAAACTGGGTGAAACTGACTGAGGCGGCACTCGCAAATGTCTCTCACCTTGGAGTGCGGGTGAAAACGGCGGGTTTTTCCTAATGCCCTCAGATCCCTTTTGATGGGTTAAACGGAAACTACCACTCAACACTAAAAGGCTAAAAGGCCAATGGGATGGTTGGGAGCCACCCAGAAAACTCAACGGTTCATCTGCCATCGGTTGCCAGAAGCGTCCTCGTGTTGGATCTTCCGGATGCATTTTGTTGGGGGAAACCAACAGTAAATGGACCTCTGGGAGGGGCTCAGCCGATTACTCGACACAAGGCCCAGTCCGCTTCGGCGAGATTGGGCCGAACCACAAAGCTGGACCTTCAACCCGCCATCAACACCGTGTGCTGAACATAGGTGTCCTTTTAGGGGAAATAGATGGCCCTGGTGGATGATTAAACCACCCAGTAAACCAGGGCCATCTATTTTTTCTACCAAAACAACCAAAAAGGACACCCATGGTGCTGAATGGAGGATCTTGACAAAAGCATGGACAAACCACCCACGAAAAGGCAACAGCACCCCATGATGCTGGCAATACTGTGGATGGACAAAGTCCTGTCCACCTGAGAAGCCCTGGAATATTGATGATTGCTCTGCAAATGCCAACGAACAGTGGTTTGAACAATGGTTTCTTGGGTGGTTCAGAATTTCGTCCATGGACGGTATTGCCTGTTTGGTACGGGTCGTAGCTCTCGGTACCCATCCCTGTTGGTTTCCCTGATTGGAAAATCAAACGCGCTCGCATTCATCAAGCCCTGCGTGACGCTGGAAAAGGAGCGAGCGGCTTCTGTGGTTGACAATTGCAGTGAGCCCACACACAACCATAGGTGAACGCGCAACCTCTAAACAAAGTGTCCTGAACCGCTACCAAAATCCGAACCAACTTGAACATTTCAACTGCAAACCCGAATAACGGATGAGTAGGACATCTACATCCCCCTTTTGGTCGGTGGAATCTCGTCTCCGATTCTGCAAGCGCCCGGAATGTGACCCAGAGCTCAGGGAATGACACTCTTTCCCGGGTCCGAATACCTGAGGGCTTTTGAGGTGTAAGGGGTCGGTCACGGGACCTACTTTTGGTTCGGGTAAGGAGACAAGGACAAAAATAACTGCGGACCCGGACAACTGCCCTTAAAGCAAAATCGCCCGCGCCGACAAGTAGATTTCAATAAACAAGTCTTGTGAGCACAGGGATCCTTACATTATACACCTGAACATTGCCTTGTAAATGGTGGTTTGCTTTTATTTTGCTGGAAAAAGCCATGTTTCAAATGGCTGCAAAATGTATCTTTTAAGGAGCGCTGAAAAAGACCGCCCACCCCCCGCTGCAGACCGAATCACACCACCAGCTCCGGCAACGAATCTGCCGGGATCGATTCGAGGCGGGTGGTCTGGATGTCCAGCACACCGATGCTCTTCAGTCGGTCCTCACCGTTTCCCCCTACTCCGAATACCCACTTTGGCTAGGGTATTTTTTGAACAACCTGGGTTTCCATGGTAAATACCTAACCTGTTTGGTAGAAGGCCGACATCATACCCTGAAAAAAGGCCGGGTATTGGGTGTAGGAGGTCTTTGAGGCAGCGAAAAGGTCCCTGGGTGAAGCAAAGTTTGGGTTGCAAGAACTCATTCTTGTGGGTAGGTTGAGGGCTTCAGCTTGAAAACAGTTGGTGTGGATTGGAGGTTTAGTGCTTAGGAGTGGTGTCACCACTTAGCCTCTACAAGATGCAGGGGTTCAAAGCTGAGAACCACAAACCGTCAAGTAAGGGTTACCCGCCTTCTAAATACTTCCCATGGACATTGGCACTCAAATCATTGGTAAGTACTACTGCATGTCCAGTGGGAAAGGGATACATCTGTGTTTGCTGCTTTTGAGTTTGAAGGAAACCCGGAAGCACCACCACTTTTGGGGGGGCCCACTCCCAAAAAACGGCACACGCATGCTTGCTTTTTTGTTTTTTCCCGCGGCGCACCCATCTCCCGTCATGGTGGTGAAAATACCCTTGTGTTTGAGGGAGTCGAACCCCAAAGGTACTCCGAATCGGGGAACCCTATCCACCAATCATTGGCGAAACTGAATACCCACTTTGCAGCCCCATCTGCCCATACACCCACTTTGCTGCCTCAACTCTTGCAAGAAAGCGGTCAGGGGCTGTATATCCCATTCAACCAGGGGCAAATCGTATACTGCTTTGCGGATGGTGCAACCATTAGCGCGGGTCTGCACAAATTCCAACAACTACCGCTTTCCCTCAGAATCATGGGAGCAAACTACCCTGCTTCCAATCATGGAAGGAGGATTTTTAAATCTGAACTTATTCTTGGAAACATGGTATGCCAACTAATCAACCAGAACCATGGCAGACTGATTTATAACAATTTATCTGGACACTCAAACTAACCCCTAAACATTCCAAATACCCGCCTCTTTCAGGGTATTTTTGGGCAAACCGATTGGTTTTCCAATGTAAATGGCGAAGCTTTTTTAGTAGAGGGTGGACAAATGAGACCAACTCGAAAAAAGAAAAGCCGGGTATTTGGAGCTTTCCGGGGTGAACATCTCTACTCCTGGTATGGTGCCAAAAAACTTTGTTTTCTGCCAAACAACTAAAACACATGCCAAGAACAGTAAAGTGAAACAATGCCCACAAGAGCTGCTGGGTGGGATCTTTAAGGCGCCCCACTGCTTCCCAGCGCCAATGTCCGAGTCTCAGCCAAAACCTTGACATTGGCAGCGCCCATGGGCGTCATGATCCCTGCTCCTGTCCTCGCGTCGGGCTGTGGACGTTCTTCCCAGTTCTTCCCTCCCAGAAGCTCCAAATCGATTGATTTAGGGCCTTCAAACAACCTGGTTTTGAGACCCCCAACCACCTCCGGGGTGTCTAATGGAGGGGTCGGGTCTTGCATGAAAAGCCCCAGGAGCTTCTGGGCTGGAAATAAGATATACACCTCTGAAAAATTCGCAAATTCTTCAGAGCCTCAAATGTTTGTTGGGTTGCCCTTGATGGCTGGAGACGGGTTTAATCAGAATCATAAACGGACATTGACTAGACAATTGTGGGCCAGGCCGAAACCAACAGAAAACCAAAAGGTCAAAAGGTCAAGTCGCTTTGGGCAACAGGGTTTTTGTGCGTCTCCGTCTGTACCTTTCAGTTGCTAGATTCAAAGGATCCGAACCTTCTGCTTTTCAGGTGGTTTGCTCATTGCTCTGACTCACTTTCTGATCGAGTTGATTGGCCAAAGGCCAAGTCCAAGCACCGGATTTCCGGAGCCTCAGGGAGTGAGATACGTGTCACTGGTTCACTTATGTTGCCAGAACCCATTTGGGTGTAACCTTTCATGAGGGACACCAGGAAAAAAACATCACTCGCATGCTTCGCATGCGTGGATTGATGTCCATGTTGGAAGCTGTTGCAGCCAGAAAAGCTATTCATCAAAGTTTTGCTGGGTGCCGAAACGGTCCGGAACAAATAGGGGTGGTCCGTTTTTTAGAGGACCCCCCCAAAACATATACCCCCTACACCCAATACCCTCTTTTTTCAGGGTATGATGTCGACCCTCTACTAAAAAAGGAGATATGTATAACGGAAAACCTGGTTTTCCCAAAAATACTCTGAAAAAAGCGGGTATTTGGAGTAGGGGGTACTTTCCCCTTCGTTTTTGCTGAGCAAAAAAACACTCCAAAAGGAGTCCCTCGAAAGAAGACACGTTTGTACCCAATCATCAGATCTATCCTTGTTGGCCTTAGTGACCAGGGTGCAACTGCAACATCTGCGCCGCACTGCCGAAAACCAGAACCGGGTCCCAACCACTGCTTTTTCTACTTTGGGGTTGTCGACGCAGGAAAAAGCAAACAAATTGTGTTGGGGGTTGTTGAACCTAATGTGAGCGGCACCCTTACAAACAGCTACCCTGTGCAGAAACAAAGGTTTTCCTTCGCAGCTTGCTTTGGTGGATTGGGGGCGTGGGGTTAAGCCCCAAACCCGCTGAATGATGGTAGCCTCACTTGTTGGGTGGGCTGGCCCTACAAGAAGTGCCCAAGCCTGTACAAAAGTCCAGGGACTCAGGAAGGGAGGGAGTATACTTGAAGCTACGCTGGAAGTTGCTAGGGTTTCGTGAATAACACAAAAATTTACCGTGGTTTTGCGCGGTTTCCCGCAATACGCCAGGGGTTTTGCCGTATGGTTGGTTTGATGCTGACCCCGGATTAACAAACCCCTGTTTTGTTACTAGGGGGGCGTTCCCTCCAACAGTGGTCTGAATCCCCACCAAAAGGGAACACCCCCCCAAACAAAATCAGCCGGAGTTTCTTGATCCGGGGTCAACATTACTCGCTGGTTTTGCAGTATTGGTTTGCTCGCCATATGCGGCTTGCGGGTTGCATCCACCGGGCCTCCAACCCGCACCCGCCGGACCAATCCACCGACCGATCCGCGGGTTCCGCCCGCTCCTGGCGCAGGAGCCCGTCTTGCCCGCCAGGCACAGCCCGGCTTCCGCGAGGCCCACGGCCGTGAAGCGGTACCCGGGGTCGCCTATAGAGCCGCCGAGTTTTCCGTGTGGGAAAAAAACCACGAGGACCCAACGAGAACACCGAAAAGAACGAATACTTTCAACCGGCCCTCAAACACCCTTTGGGAATGACCCCATACTTGTGGGTTGCAAGAACCAAATTTAAGGGCAACTTCAGGGTCCAGGTTCACACCGAAAAGGGCAATTTATGCCGACCGGATTTTGCGGCCTTCCAGTTGTTGGTGAAAATCCTTCACCACCAAAAATTTATCGGTAGCTTCCCCATTCTTTTCCAGGGATCCTTCTTTCTACAAAACCACCAAAAACCCTGGGAAAACAGCTGGTCTTTGAAAAGAACGATGGTTTAAAATCATGGAAAAGGAATCAACCCCTAGAAAAAATCCGCACCAGCATTGCGGCCTTCCAGATATTTGGTGAAAATAATTCAGCCCCAAAAAGGGGCAAAATGCCTGCCGGGATTTGCGCTTTGCCGGGCACCAGCTCTCCCCGCCCCCGCCCCCCCGCCGCCCCGGTGCAATCGCCTGCCCCGCTGAGCAGCACCTCCGAGTCTCCGCTTGCGCCGCTACGCGCCTTGAAGCGATAGGACCAGGAGCCGCCGTCCTCGGCGACCGCGGACGGCAGGCGCGGTCTGTGGATCAAAAAGCTGCCTGGATCGCGCGATCGCTTTTCTTCTTCCCATGTTGTTTTACCCCAAGAACCAGCAACAGTGACTGAAAAAAGCGATCGCAACTGGGCGATCTAGGTGAGGTTTAGAACCACCAGAAATGGGCCTTTTAGTAATTGTTCGAGTAGGATTTATGCGGATTTGTGCACATAGAATCCATGTGTGGACGAATCCTGAGTGGGCTGAGTGGGCTATGTTCAGGGCTTGTCAACCTTACTTTTTGGTCACAGTTTCTAATTAATTTCTTTGTTCAATCCTTGGTATGAGTAGCAAGAGTACCAAACTGAACAGAACCCAAAAAAACAAAAACCCAATGCATGCCAACAAAAGTGACGTATCTAGTTAAACTTCATAACCCCACCTGGAAACTGGGCAATCCTCGAATCCCCTGCTAAAAGTCCAACTTTTAGTGGGTTAAAAGTTAACCCCCCCCAACTCAACCAACTAAAAAACCAAAAAACAAAAACAACTCGGGGGATGGGTGGTAACCCTCAACAGGGTTAGGGGGGAAGGGGTCCTAACACTGTGCAAACATAAACAGCGACCCTCACAGGCGGAACCGCTCGTTTTAATCCCGCAACTCGGCGAGCTCGATTTGCAACTGACCGGAAAAAAAGAGATACATCCAAAAACCAGCTGGGTGTGTCTGAAAATAAGCCTTGGACCCTTGCTTGGATGGTTTTGAAGGGAAACCAAAAAACAAGTCAACTATCTGGAGGGGTCCCCAAACTTGAGAAACACCCAGGTGGCTTACAAGGATTCCGAAATCCGCCGGTCAATGTGATTGCCAAGCTGGCCGATCAAAATCAGGCAACTGACGAAGTCAAAAGGTCCAAATACCTGGCTTTTGAGGGTGAAGAAGTAGGGTTCTCGGGTGCCTTGTGAACCCCCCGCTTCTCGCAGCTCAGAAACCCTGATTTCTGATGATCCCCCAACGTACCCATAAACCTTCTGGTGTCAACCATGGCTCATCCACAGTAAGGATCCCCTGGAATGCTTGTCTCTCCAAATGGGAATCGGGATGGGTTTTAAAAAGAAACGGAGGAAGGGTTCGGAGGGAGGGTTCGGACGAACCTATTGGGGTTGCACTCTACCCTACCAACAAAAACCCTCTGGGGTAGAAATGTCTTTCTGCGGCCATTTTCCTTCAAGGCACATAGATGGCCTGGGTGGGGCACTTGGAGAGAGTAGACCAGCTGCCCGGATGCTCTGCCAGAAAGGCCGCCCACTTGGGGTACCTCGAAGGAATGCCGTCAACCCCCGTCTCAGTTTTGTTGGCGGTCGGAGGTGTACTAACCCTGGGAGAGCACCCGGACATTAAAGAGCTGACCAAATCAGGGCCATGAGAAAACCAAATCCAAAACGACAGAAACCCCTACCCGAACCAATTGTTGCAATTATACAGAAACATAGATATACTAAAAAGAACAGGTTTTGCAGTGAAAACTGCCAAAGAGTTTTTGAGGCTGAACATGCGCCTGAGTCTCAAGAACAAGTGCTTAAACATAGCGAGTCTGTGAGCTTGTCAGCTCGCAGTTGAAATCCCAAGGCCGCATGCCATCCAAATAGTACGACCAACTTGGATGCGAAAATGTCGCGTCCACTCACTTCTAATCCGGTGGATTGCCCCAAAAAAAGTAACCAGACTGTTTGTTTGCCACTCAAATCCATGGAACTTTCAGGTAAGAATCTTACGAAGAACAAAAACAGCCCATCCAAAATGTAGGATCGTTTGGAGGAGACCCCCGAGCATGATGGTTTCCCCGAAGCGCGAGAACTCAAGAGTAAGACCCACTCAGACGGCACCCTCAGGGGAGGCCTGTTTGCTTTGAGTGTTCCACGGATGTGGTCCATTCACGGGATTACCTCACTTGAGTTGATGGGCTGAACAAAAGTAGCCCATGTAAGCGACTAGAATGGTCTTCCCAATAAAGACAAGTCCATGAGCTCCGGGGGTAAGTTACTTGGGGATCCGGTGGATGAGGTTTCTCTTTGGCGCCACGAGCGACCTCGGACGAATTCCGAGTTGCATGCCAGCACTTGCGCCCACGCGAAGCTTCAAGGAGCGGCGCAGTAAGCGAGCATCCTGGGCCCACGGAGGAGGGAGGAGCGAGGACCACAGCGCATAGCGGAATGTGCTTTCTTGAGCCCCAAGCAACGATCCTTGAAATATATATATATATATATTATGTTATCCCATCATGAGCAATTACCGATGTAGGGTCCAGGCACCCTTGAAAAAAAGGAAGTCACCCCAGAAGTGCAGTTTGTTTAACGGGTAGTTTGAGGCTTGAGGGTCCTGGCATCTGAAATGGGCGGGGGGATGCCACTCACAATATGGCTGTGTTTTTAGAGTCTGCTTTTGGAGGGACAACTGAAGATCGTGGACAAACGGAGGACACTGAAAAGGCCACAAAGGGCAAACGGTTGATTTCAGTCCGGCAATGAGGGACATCCCCCCCAAAAGCGATTTGGAAAACGCTCAACTGCAACCAGGCGAAAGACCTATACAAACCTACAATGTGTGGGATCCCCAGGTGTCGAGCCACGGAAAGAAGTACTGAGTAGTGTATTCGCATGATGTACGGCTTAGATACAGATCACTAATTGTGCCGATATGTTCTCCGCCCAAAAAAACATGACACACTGCGGGTCATCTATAAAAATCAATCTGTTCAGCTTCTGCTTCATATTTCGCCCGTAACATGGCGTATGCTTTCGAGTGGGAGACGGGCCCATGCTTTCGGCTTCAGTGTTCGTCACCCGAAAAGGCCTGCACTTGAACGTTCAAGCAAAACCAGGAGTGTATGGGAACCGTCAGCCCCATTTGACCGTCACGTCTTGAGGGGGCCGACCCCAATCCGGCGGAATCCGGGTCCCGACGCAGCGATTGGCGCGAGGCGCATAGGGCCCGAAGAGATTGGACACGATGGGCCCCTCCGAGGCCACCCAGGAAGGAAAGCCCATGCCTGCGGAGGCGGACGGAGGGCGGCCCGGCGTCTCTGGTTGTCTGTTTGGGAGAACCGTTGATCGTTTTTCCCCCCATTTTTGTTTTGGTTTATGGTAAAACCCGATCCCTTTGGTGGGATGACATCATAGCAACTGAAAAAAAGGCGGGTATTTCGAGTAGGGGTAGGGGTTATAACCTAGTGATGACCAACTTACTTCATTACTTGGTCTACTCCAAGAACCTGGGTATTTTTGGACCCGTAGAACAAGCATGTTCTTAGAGACAGGGGTTGCTCTTTTGCAGACAGGAAAGGCCGTGAAAACAGTCAGAGCAAAAAAAAGAAAGCCGCAACTGGCTTTTTCCAGGCTTCTATTCTATGGCTCCGATGGGGCTTGGGATTTGGAGAGCCCAAAGTTCCCTCGTCCCCGAATCCTAACCAGAGCAGTTGTCGTGTCAAATGCACAAGTTTGAGTTGAAAATTCCCAAACTCCATGGGATGAGACTAACCCTGGCCAGAGTTGCGCAGTTTTCGTGTCAAATGGACAACTTTGAGTTGACTTTCCCATATTCCATCGATGGGATGAGGTTGGTTGGGGAACCCAGCAAAGACCCAACATCCGCACACATCATTTGCCGGAACAAATCACCCTGGTCAAATCTGGGTTGCTCTTCCCAAGCGAAACGTCACCAGATCTTTTTGCACTATATACAGGCAGGTTAGCAGGTTTCATGGAAAAGCAAATGCGTTTGGTGACAAAGCATGTGTTTGCGGCTGGCCCCAAGGCACTAAACCCTGGTCATGGGCTTCGAAAAAAGGATTCCCAGTGAAAGAGAGAGAGAGAGTGAGAGATGAAAAAAGAGAGAAAGAAAGCCGTTTGGTCCAACCACTTTCTGGGAAGGCCGAAAAAACAAAAACCACCCGACAAAGTTTGGCGCAAGCGCGCCTTCCACCTGCGTGTCTTTTCGCAGAGTAGACTTGGCACCGGGCGCCAGCACGTAGGGATCCTTCTCCCACGCTTTGGGGAAACCTCAAATGCAGCCAGGTTCATGCTTGGTGCTGTGGCTTGAAAAGGTGTGGAGTTTGGGTGGTTTTCCATTTACTCTCTCCAGGACCCTGAAAAAGCAGGCTTTGGCTGATTTTCCCTTTCAACCAAGAGCAAAATCAAGAAGGACCCTGCTTTTGCGGGCCCTTGGAAGACCAAGGCATGGGTTCACATCCGCCAAATAAGGATACCTGACAGGTACACGAAGTGTGTTCGTGAGGAAAGGGAAGGCACATCAGACAAACCAGGAGAAAAAATATCCTGGGAGAGAGGCGGCAGAATCCAACCATGTTGCTGGTTTCCCGTGAGGATGTGCGTAGCAAGCAATGGTTGCAAACGCAAGGCACGGCAACCCACTCGGCGCTTTGCTAAGCTTGGTGCTTGATTGTTTTCAAAGCTCTCTGTTTTTTCACAAATCAGCTCAGGTATCCCCAACGGAACCCTCCAGATCTGAAAGCTTCCCTGGAACAGCCCAGAGCTTGGGCCTGTCGACCCTCAAATCAGCTGGGAAAAGGCAGGACGCCGCGACGCCGCGTGTTTGCATTGGATTCGACGTGAAAACTCCCTCAACTTGCGGCACTGCCAACTTCTGTGGAGCCAAATGACGCCATGGGACCGTTTTGGCGTGGTTGGCCACCTTGCCCCGAGTCTCGGTGGCTTGTTTTGCTACACCCAAACCAATCCAAACCATCAACGGGTTGCCTGATAAGGGCTGCCCAGCTTTCCTTCTCACCCGACACATTTGGGCATAGGAAGTCGACTGAATGATGAACAAAGCACCAGGCTGGTTTGGAACCCGCTCCAGCGTCTTTTGCGATGCTTTTGAGTTTCAACTGATCAGACTGATGGCATGGTGCATCCCAACGATTCGAAGGGAATAAAACACGTACCGTGGATGAGCAAACCCTTAACTTGTCGGAATCCAGGGTTTCTGAACGGTGCTGCGAAATGGATTTCGCAACACTCCGCAGTAGGGCATACATACATACATACATACATACATACATACATACATACATACATACATACATACATTACATGCATTACATTACATTACTTACTTACTTACATACTTACATACGTGCGTACATGCATACATACATACATACATGCATGCATACATACATACATACACACAGACATTACATACATACATACATACATACATACATACATACATACATACATACAGACAGACATACATACATACATTACATACATACATACATACATGCATGCATGCATACATAGATACATACATTACATTACATTACATTACATTACATTACATTACACTACACTACACTACACTACACTACACTACACTACATTACATTACATTACATTACATTACATTACATTACATTACATTACATTACATTACATTACATTTACATACATACATACATACATACATTACATACATAGATACATACATACATACATACATACATACATACATACATTACATTACATTACATACATACATTACATACATACATACATACATACATACATACATTACATACATACATACATACATACATACATTACATACATACATACATACATACATACATACATACATACATACATACATACATACATACATACATACATACATACATACATACATACATTACATACATACATACATACATACATACATACATACATACATACATACATACATACATACATACATACATACATACATACATACATACATACATACATACATACATACATACATACATACATACATACATACATACATACATACATTACATACATACATACATACATACATACATACATACATACATACATACATACATACATACATACATACATACATACATACATACATACATACATACATACATACATACATACATACATACATACATACATACATACATACATACATACATACATACATACATTACATTACATACATACATACATACATACATACATACATACATACATACATACATACATACATACATACATACATACATACATACATACATACATACATACATACATACATACATACATACATACATACATACATACATACATACATACATACATACATACATACATACATACATACATACATACATACATACATACATACATACATACATACATACATACATACATACATACATACATACATACATACATACATACATACATACATACATACATACATACATACATACATACATACATACATACATACATACATACATACATACATACATACATACATACATACATACATACATACATACATACATACATACATACATACATACATACATACATACATACATACATACATACATACATACATACATACATACATACATACATACATACATACATACATACATACATACATACATACATACATACATACATACATACATACATACATACATATACATACATACATACATACATACATACATACATACATACATACATACATACATACATACATACATACATACATACATACATACATACATTACATTACATTACATTACATTACATTACATTACATTACATTACATTACATTACATTACATTACATTACATTACATTACATTACATTACATTACATTACATTACATTACATTACATTACATTACATTACATTACATTACATTACATTACATTACATTACATACATACATTACATTACATTACATTACATTACATACATACATACATACATACATACATGCATACATACATACTTACTTACTTACTTACTTACATTACATACAAACATGCATACATACATATGTACATGCATACATACATACGAGAGAGGGAGATTGGGGAGAGAGAGGCTTGGGGGGGGTGGGGAGGGAGAGAGGACAACAGAACACACAAGGGAGACAAGGGAGAGAGGAGGAAGGAGAAAAGGGAGAGGACAATGTCGGCGGACTGAGCCGGAGGCTCTAAAGTTAGAGCAAACAATTGAGCCGCCCCTGGGTTTGTTCTTTTCTTTCATGCAAAGTCAACCTCAAGGGAAGCAGCCCATTTCAAGAATTGAGACGCACCTTTGGAAGTTCGGAACGCCGAGTTGGTAAGTGGAAAACGCCGCTTGATTTTTGCTCACCCCCTAAGGTGAATCCCACACGGAGGACACATGAGTGGGTGATCACCTAGGATGACCAGAACCTACTAACTTTTTAACTTGGCTCTTCACACCCAAGTACTACGCCCTAGGGGTCCGATCAGGCTTTGGGATTTTCAGAACCCGGGGTGCTGGAGTGTCAATCCCAGGGGATCCCCGTACCACACCCTCAAAAGGGACGTATATGTTGAGGCCCCAAATGCCGCCGAGCGTGACGCTTAGTACTGTGGACCACCAAAGAAAATTCTGGAATGATGAGTCCCGTGTCAATACCAACCGACAATGGCTTCGTATGGTTTCTCAGTGGTGCGATTTCTGGATTCCGTCCATCCACCGCATGGCAGCATAAATTATTGCAAGGCCGCTCGCATTCTTCAGCACCTTGGCGGTGTTCAACACCCCCGCGCTGACGCCGCCGTTGTAGCCTGAACAGGGATCCGGATGGATGTTTCCATGTCTTTATTTTGGTGTGGAAAAAGCCACATGTTTCAACTGGTTGCAAGATGATTTTCTTTAAGGAGCCCTGCTGAAAAACGATGGAATCATGAATCCCTGGGCGTAGGTACAAGGGGATAGGTAGTTGAGAGCCTTCGGAGTCCTTTTCGGGTAGAGTCCTTTCCGGGTTCCTTACAATTCCCTCAGGTTAGGGTTCCTTACAGAAGCCCCCCTCCCCCCCGAAACGCCCCACTCCCCCACCCCCCCTTGGTCGAGGTTGGAAGGGGAGCAAAAAATCAAATTCTAGCTCCTTAGGGTTCCTTAGAGTTGCCTAGGTGTTTTTTTTCAGCTACTTCCGGTTAGGGTTCCTCACAGAGCCTAAGCACCCACCCAAAACCCCCCCCAAAAGGCACCCGAAAGGCACCCCCGCCACCCCACCCCCCGCCGCATGGCCCCGATACCCCACCGAGCCGCGCTCCAACCACGCGTCCAGCTGCAGCTCCCCGCTGAAGTTCTCCAGGGCCAAGCTGGCGCCCAGGTCCGCCGCCAGCGCACAGAAGCCGCTGGAGAGGACCACCTGCCACTGAAGCCGCGCTTTCGCTCGGAAGCCGCGGGCGCCGTGAAGGCCGGCGATCCATTCGGGACGTACGGCTTCCATTGGGTTTTTCGACCCCTGGAAAAATAATTATATAAAAAAGGCAGTAGTGATAGGTTCCCTTTAAAACCAACTGGGGGGAAAAAATATTAAGCAAATGCAAGCAGATTCGGTATGTCAGGGTACTAACCATGGTCATAGGTGTCCTTTTAGGGAAAATAGATGGCCCTGGTGGATGGACTTCAGACCAGGATGGTTCTGAGGACTGCTGGACAACGTCAATGGAACCTGCTGCGCACGGACATCCACACCGCGCTTCTGAATATCAAACCACCAGGTAAACCAGGGCCATCTATTCTTCTACCAAAACAACCAAAAAGGACACCCATGACCATGGTTATAAAAGTTATAACCCTCAAAAGCCATGGTTATAAGTCCCAAAACCTAGAAATAATGCCCACGAAATAAAAACCCAGATCTGGGCCAGAAGAAAAAAGCAGATTCTTAAAAATGGCAAGGCAAGCCAGCCCGTTTTAGGACAGTACCCCCCCTCCTTTTTACTGGCCACTTGCAAGCTGGTACCTGGTTCGACAGCTGAATGAGGGAATGACCCGATGCAACTTGCGGCGGATGCCCGCGTACCCCCTACTCCAAATACCCTCTTTTTTCAGGGTATCATTTCGACCCTCTACAAAAAAAGGAGGTATTTACCATGGAAAGCCAGGTTTTCCCAAAAATACCCTGAAAAAAGCGGGTAATTGGAGTAGGGGGTAAAACTGGATGGAACACAAGTGGGAACATCTAAACAGTGGATGGCTTTCCGTGCTGCAAGGGAACCAGGGAGCCCTCGCCTAAATGTTCGACTCGGTGCTTGCGGAAAACTTCACGCAGAAGAAAACCCTGTTAGTTTCCCGGAAATGATGAATCAAAAAACATGTTTGCTATTCAGCACCCAGCCCTGGACAAGCATCGCCTTACGCCTTGGTGTGCGAAATCGTTGGGACAAATTGAGGGGTTGGGAACCTCCCTTGGCGAAAGTGGGACATGGAAAGCTGGGATAATCCGTTTGGGTCAGACAGCTGGAAGCTCTGAACGCTGTTTCAGCCGCTCACTGCTTGCGGCCCGCCAGCGGACCCCGGGAGCAGCTGGCTCATCTTGCTTCTTGGAACCCTATGTTGGGTTGCTTTAAAGGGGAAACCAAAGGGAAACCACCAATTTTGGTTCCCCTAGATTAAGACAAACGCATATGGGTGAAAATCCCAATCATTCAATCCTTGGGGGCGGGTGGGAACCAACTTAGACCACTTGGTCCGTCCGATCCCAAACCAAACCACAGACTCCAGGATTCCGTTCAGGATACATCCAAACACCACCTGAGTAGACTTGTTAACTAGCCCAAATGCATTCTTCATTCTTTCAGGGACAAGAACTAATCCCTCAAAAACATGACAACACATTTGGCTGATCAAAGTGAATACATTCAGATCTAAGGCACTTCCAACCATGGTCTCATCAAATTGTCGTGTCAGTAATGTTGACCCCGGGTTGATAAACCCGCCCTATTGACAGCCAGAAGCACCCCCCACAAGCTGGGATTGATTCATCTATAGCACGGGAAAGGGGACGAGGAACCGGCCGGGGGACTTCTGCTTCCGGCCTTTGCCCCGGACTTGATGGCCACTTCGTCATACTTGTCGATCATCTCCCGCTGCCAGTAGAACCTGAGAGAGGTCTTCGGACCCTTGGCACCCAAAACCCCCAAACCAAAAACCAAGCCACAATACATGACGAGAACCCTGCCAAAATCTGGGCTGTTCCCAGATCTGCCAAAAGTCTAACTGTCAGTTGAGTGAGGATACCCCCACCTGAAACTACCTGGACCCCCAAAGGACCGATTCCTTTTTTCTGCCTTTGTACCCCCTTTTTTTGGGGTCAAAGGCAGAAAAAAAACGGAATCGGTCCTTTGGGGGTCCAGGTGCCACTAAAACCAACTGAACAACCAAAAGCCTTTGGAGCCAAATGCCTGGGAACCGAAGCCGATCTAAGCCGATCCAACTTGAGGCCGATGACTCCGGTCAGAACCCCACGTTTGGGGAGCTCACGAGCACTGGTCGAGATTTGTGACTGAAATCAGGAAAGGCTTCGCTGGGCTCCTCAGATCCTCTGCAAGGGTTGAACCTTCCATGTTGGTTCGCAAAACATATACTTATATCATATATATATATATATTTTTCGGATTTATGTGTCGCTTTAGCCATGAAATCGTATAACATACTTTCTGGAGACGGTTTAGGCGGGAGAGTAACCATCATGGCGTTCGTGCAGTCTATCGCTCAATTCGCTCGCTAAACACGGTTGCCAAAAAGGTAAAAGGTCGACTTGCTTTGGGCAACTGAGACATGGGATGCAATTCCCTTTCTTAAGGGTAGCTTGCATTTGCTTCTCCGCCCCCGGGGAAAAACGATTTCCAGTAGTGAGATCGGTTCCCTTTAAAACCAACAAGGGAAAAACACATAAATATTTTACATATTTCCAGTGGTGAAATAGCCTCCCTTTAAAACCAACAAGGGAAAAACACAAAACTACTTTTAAGCAAACGGAAGGTCGCTGGAGGGGTCTGTTGATTCGGGCCATGTGTCAGCCCATCGGTTTCCGCTACTAGGTCCCCCAGTGGCGAGGACCTAGTATAAGGGCACCAACTTTATTCTGTAGTCTTTTTTAGATATTTTAGGAGATGTCCTCCCAACCAAGGGGTGAGAAAGGGCACCGATCGCTGGGGGACCTAGCCCTTGGAGCAAAGGACTTCTCCCATCACAGGGTTGTGGGAAATCACCACTTCTGTGATACAACAAAAAGGGATTCCCAACGACTACCACCCCAACAAAAAGGGGAGATTTCCTTGAAACCACAGAAGTGGTTGGAGAAACCCCTTGAGATCAACCACAAGCCTGAACCTAAGTCAGTCATCCACTCAGTGGTAATTATTGTTTGATCAACCACAACCCTGTCTGAACAAGACACGCCCGTTTCCGAATTCCCGCTCACAAATCTCGCGCCTCAAATATCACTTCAACATCCAGGCCCCGGACAAACCCAACCCCGACACCTTCTAAGCGCTTCCTGGCTTTTCCCAGCTCAAACCAGCGACCTCACGTGCCAAATGAGGGGCCAATGAGGGGGAGATGTGTAAAAAGATCCAACCCGGTCCCATCCTGGGTTGCACTGCATCGGGGCTGAGAACGGGCGGGCTGAGACGAGTGGCTCGTCGCTGGTGTCGGCGTAGTGGATCCCCAGCTCCGCCGCCGCGCTCAGCAGGGCCTCCGACCGGGGGTACCCCGGCCGAGCCCAGGGTTTTGTGGCTGGACGCTGGGCCTGGGGGGGCAACAAAAATGTACCTGGACCCTCAAAACCTCCCACTCAAAAATGGGCTTGACCCCCAAGATGGATGGGGTGAGGTCCCATTTTTATGGGTAGCTTGAGGGTTCAGGTAAATTTCAGCGGTTCAGCGGATTTGGATTTCGACCACTAAACCACAAGAAGCAAAATGTGAAATGTTTCCCCAACGACAACCAAGCGGACACCTCGCGTCTTTTTGCGAAGCCCTAAAAAAACAACGGGCGATAACCCATTCTTCTTAATTTCTGGGGGTTCAGGGACCTAGTACCCCCGAAAGCTCCAAATACCCGGCACTTTTTCAGGGGACCATGTCGAGCCTCTGCAAAAAAACAGGAGGTATGTTCCATGAAATAGAAAACAATTACCTTGAACAAATGAGTATTTTGAGGAGGGGGTACTGCGTTGAACCCCTGAAGGGTGCCTAAAGGGTGATCGGGTACTTATTTAGTAAGTGGTTAGTAAGCCTGGCTATGACTCACTGAACAGAAACTTATAACCATGGCTTTTCTGGGTTACAAGTTATAGCCAAACTTGTTCCCCAACCTCCTTAGTTCCCTGCCCCTGGAAGCAGCTTCGGTTTGGGGGGTTCCTGGACACCAAAAACCTCGTCTTTCGCGCGCGCCTCGCCCTGGTGAATGGAGAAGGGCCCCGCGGCGGAAATCACCGCGCGAGTGCTGCCCAGCCAAGTCTTCACGTCCTAAGCTACGAGCCGCGGACTGTTTCCGGTGAAACGAGGTAAGTACCTCAACTGGGTGCTCCAGTAGAGAGGTTAGGATAAGGGTACCAACTTTTTTCTGTAGCCTATTTTAGGGGACCCCTCCCCCAAACAAGGGGAGAGAAGGGCACCTAGCTGCGGGACCGAGTCAAACACCGAGAAGAACAAATCGGGCCCCCCTTGACGCGAAGCAACTGCCCGGAGAAAAGGCATCATCCATCCCATACAGTTTGGGGCGAATCCAACCCATTTTGAGGGGTAGTTTGGTGCAAATCGGTCGGGCAAAATGTGCCTGAGCCCGAAGAAATGGGTGAAAAACTCAGAGGACACTGGACCATTGCGCGGTGTTTTTTTTGTTAAAGACACGCCTGAACCCGAAGAAACCCACCCAACAAAATGGGGCTGCAACCCATTTTTGATGCTTGGCGAGGTCCCTTTCTTTTTCTTAATGGGCCCATGAAAACAGACCATGGCCCTCTAAACCCGGAAAAAAAAAAGGCAGAGTCACTCCATAAAGTTGGGGCAATCACGGAGTTTTAATTTCAAGGGAGCTTCGAGGGTCCAGGCCCGCGATAACCCGATACCCCGGCAACCTCAAAATACCAACGCCTTGTTCAGGTGTTTTTTGGGTTGAAAACCGATCGGTTTTCCATGGTAAGTATCGACTTTTTTAGTAGAGGGCCGACATGATACCCTTCGAAAAGAGGGAATTTGGAGTAGGGGGTGGTTTGGGGTCCAGGTACCCTTGGTCAGGAGTTCACATGATACCCAAGACAAGTTCTGCTCCTATCTGGCATAAGGATCCGGCTTTATGTTGAACCCAGAATTCAATCCCCAAACTTCAACCAACAAGCCCTGCGAAGCAAAGTTGGGCTTTACCTTGTGAAAAGTACCAACAGGAATGAGGGCCAACGGTGGTGGTGGAAACCACCGAGTGCATCCAACCTGGAAGTAGATAGCACATCCCTTTCCAATAAAAAAGGAGACTGATTGAAATCGAGAAGTCAAGATTCGTGCTTCGGCATAAAGGCACTAAACAGCAAGCTCACAACTCCGGTTTCCATGTGTGCCACGCAACAAACTGCAATTTTAACTGGCAAGCTTCTCCCCTTCAACAAGCATTGATCCCGAAAACCCGGAACGGCTCATAGTCAAATGGACCGCTGGTGAATGTTGACTCAGAATGGTTCTTTACAACCCTTGGTTTGGCATTAGCCCCCGGCGGCTCCCTATATTTCCCTTAACAAACATCAGCCCCAAACGAAACTCAAGTACCACTTTCATTGGTTAAGGTCGAAGGAAAAAACATATTTCCAGTAGCGATGAATTCCTTCTAAGACCAACAAGGAAATAAGGAAAAGGAAAACCAGTTAAGACCAACAAGGGAATTGTTCAAAAGAAACATATGCTTGAGAAAATGGAGGAACATGAGGCAAAATGGTGATGTTCAACACCACCAATGGGAAGTTTTTAGGAGCCCTGTATGGAAACTCCCCGCCCTTCCGAAGGAATCAACGGCAACTCCACGTGTGGCTTTGGAGCTATGAATGTTTGTACCACAAATGTAGTATACATCCCTCGTATACGTGGTCTAGGTCCTCCAGTAGAGAGGAGAGAATAAGGGTACCCATTTTTATGTAGTCTATTTTAGTAGGGGAACCCTCCCCCAAAAAAAGAGTAAAAAGGACAGTATAGTAGACTAGGGAACCCAGTGGTATATAAAGTCCATATCCAAAACCCTGGGAAGTCTCTTGATGTGAAAGTTTCTACAACCGCAAGCGAACACATGCACAATAAAATTATGTTCAGATTCCGTGGCATAGTCGGTCCACCCCCTATGTGTTTGAAGGAGATCCAATGGCTGGAGGGTGCTGCGTTCATGAGCTTTAATCCTCAAAAGTGACCTTGTAAAGGTCTTGTTTTTTGGCACGGGGGGTTCCCACCCCAAGATCATGTGACCACGAGTTGGAACAACCTTGCCAACCCCTCCTTCAAAAAGTGTTCAGCTCGCGCCTGGTCCAAGGCCTTGGCCAAGACTTGGGGCATGGAGACCCCATGCAGCGACGCTTTCAGCGCCTCGAGCTGCGACGCGTTGCCTCGGGAGGCGCCTAGCTGGGGTTCCAAGAAACCCCAAGGAGCCAACCCGGAAAGCGAATTCGCTTTGCCAACAGTCGCCAAATTTATGGGGTGGTTTACGGACCCAAGAGGCTAACCTTTTGCGGCCATAAGCAGCAGTTTATACAAATTCATGTCTTGCCAACCACCTGATACCTAAAGGGGCGATCGGGTATACTTGTGCTGAGGAAGCCTGGTGAAAACCCACTGAACGGAGACTTATCACCATTCTAAGCTTCCATTTTGGTTCACCTGGAGTCTCCTTCTGTCCCTTAAAAAATGGTTGGTCATTACCCAAAATAATGGGGTCACGTCAGTCCCAAAGGAAACTCATGCAACACTTTCATTTGGTTAAGGCCCCAAGAAAAGAAAAATCCAGAAGTGATGAATTCCTTTTAAAGCCACCAAGGGAAAATAAACCATATTCTTAAGCAAATGGAGGCGAAGGAACGACCCCAGAAAACGGGCTTTGCCGACCGGCTCCAACAATTTTATGGGGTTGCGTACTCGGAAATCAGAGGTTGGCCTTTTGTGGCCATGAGAAAACACCAAAAGGTTGTTTGGGTCGGCTTTGGGCAACTGCGTTGTTGTCCCTTTGGCTTCCCTTTCAACCAACCCAAACTGGGTACCAACAAACCAAAAAAAGAACAAATGGCAGAAATGCCGAGGCGTCCAATCAGGTGACCAATAGATGGGTTGCCCTGGCAAACGATTAAAACACATCAGCCAGTCGGACCCCATTTCTATCTGGCAAATGGATAAAACCATTCGAAAACAGTGGAATTTATGTATGTCGTACCAAGTGGGAACCCATCTATTTCTTACCAAATTCACCCATCAAAAGGACACTCATACTGTGGATGGACGAAATCCTGCACCACCTAAGAAAATTAGGAATGATGAGTCCCCAGTAATTACCACTGCACAATGGTTTCTCATGGTTTCCAAGTGGTGCGGAATGGATTTCGTCCATCCACGGTATGGTCCAGGGTCCACTCCAGCGAGCGTCGGCCCGCGATGGCCCAGGAGAGGTTGGGTTGTTGCACCAGGTGCTGCGCTGCGAAATGGCCCACGCAGCCATCCTGCGACATCAGCGGCTGCTAAGTAAGAACATATTCATACCGTGGATGGACGAACTCCATTTCGCACCACCGTTCAGAAACCCTGGAATGTTGATTCACTTGTAAATACCAATGAACAATGGGTTCCCATGGCTTCCAAGTGGTGCAGGATTTCGTCCATGCACAGCAGAAATATGAGTTTATATAGATACCCAGGAAATCTAAAAGGCAATAACTTCTGCCTGAGATGGCAAAAGGCGCCTTTCTGTACATATAGACATATATATATATATATATTGCAGATAGATATGCATTTGTGTAAATACTCATAAAAATGTGTGTGGTATCAGACTGGCGGTTTCTGAGGACCGGTTTTCCTCGAACTTGAACGACGGGTGAGGAGAGCGTTTCTTTAAGACTTGTCCTTTCTCTCTCTCAGTTGACCCCCTCCGGACCCAGAAATAGAAGGTTAACCTGTTGGGGCCATGGCTAAAAATAGACGACACAGGTGCGCTTTGGCAGCACAAGACATACCCTTTCCATGCCTTCTTCGTTAGGTTTGAAAGAAATTGCACTGAACTGCGGCCTCTGCCGACATTTCACCGGAGAATTGGAAGAGAAGTATCAAGCCTGAGCACAAAGCCATTGTAACACATGGCTGGGCAAGAGCTGGACACGGGAGCAAACGCTTGACCCCCGCTGTGAGGGTTCGAGGCAAGGCGATCTGCAAATATCTTGTGGCAAATCCCGGGCTATGGGATGTCTTTGGAAGCCTCGCAAGGAAAACAATCAAAACGGCGCACCTCGTTTTTGTGCACGGGGTAAACTGAACCCAAGAAGGGCACTGGACAAGGTCCACAAGACCTTACCTGAGGACTTTGGGGCTCCTTGGGTAGTTGGACGGTCCCACCTCGAGGTGTTTCTGTTTCATGGGGTGTCTGGGTCGCTGGCGAAGTGGGCATTTGGAACCCGAAGCGAAGGGCAACAGGGGCGCAAAAAACCAAGGAACAGGGAAGTCAACAGGACGCGGTTGACGCAAGGGGCTCAAATAAATTACTCAAACTACTGATTTGTCCCATGCTCCTGACTTAAGTTAGCCTGACCCCCTCCCCCTCCCCCCGACCCCCCATTCTAAGTCTTTAGCCTGCATTACCCCCGACCCCCTTCAAAGTCTTTAGCCCCCTAACCGGCGCTTGCGCGCCAAGCAGCTGCCCCGTAGAGGATGAGGTCCAGCTGTGCGCCGGCGGCTAGAGGCAAGAAAAAGCCGAGCGCTCGCCGCGCCATCGGCGGAAAATCGAAAAATCGATTGGGCAGGGCGAGTGCGAAAATGGCTGCGGGAGGGGCGAAGAAAGATCATCAAGCATCTGTTCCGCAAATTTCGGAGAATTGGAACTTGTTTCTTGGCCTCTACCTTGCCGGAACGAACGATTTGCGCCTTCCGCCAGTTCAACAAGCACCACCGAAGGCCGGTTTGTAGAGCATCCACCGTCTCAGTACACTGCCAGCGCTCAATTCTGAAACATTCTGAAACGGTATTTCTTGATAAGTACTGTGGTTGGACGAAATCCATAAATCGCCACTTGGAAACTGTGGGAAACCAATTGGTAGCTGGAAGGCCGTGATTTTTGGGCTGAGGTATCACTTCCGATCGAGTGGACTGGCCAAAAAAAACAACCAAACTGAAGCTATTTTAACACTAAAATGGCAACGAACCCCAAGAAGTACGTTTAGTAGTGTGGGTGGATGAAATCCTGCACTGGAAACCCTGATTAAAGCCATTGTTTTTCATGGTATTTGCAGGGGAATCATCGTTCCAGGGTTTCTGAACGGTGGTGCGAGAAGCACATGGATTTCGCAACCATCCACAGCCAGGGATAGTTGTGTGTTCCTTCTTCTTTTTTCTGGGGCTTCCGGGTGACCCCATTCCACCGCTCCGGTGGCCGGTTTTTCAGGCTCGGGGATCCTGAGGCGAGCTTTCCACCCGGAGCGCGCGCGCCTGCGGGCAGCGCCAGCCGCAAGGACAGGGCCTGAGAGGCGGCGAGCCCGGGTGGGAAGGGAATCAGGGGCTTTGTGTTAGTCTCCTGGACCAAAGGACCGATTCCCTTTTTTTTCCGCCTTTCTACCCACCTTTTTTTTTGGTCAAAGGCAGAAAAAATTGGGTCCCCAGCTGGGGGTCCAGGTTAGTTTGTTTTTTCCCGAGAGAAAGTCTAGGCAACAAAAGAAACAAGTACCATGCAAAAGCAAGTTAGCCTCTTACTTTCAAAGGGTTCATCTACCCAAGCTCGTCCCAACTCAAAAGGCTAAAGGTCTTAGATCTAGGAAGTCAATTTTGCAAGCGTCCCGCAACCAAGCATCAAACTTAAGATAGATTCAAAAAACATATCTATATCTATATGTGTACATATATATATATATATATACATGTATGCATCTATCCATATATATATATATATGTCTATCTATGTATGTGTATACCTGGACCGTCAAAGGACCCCTGTTTTCTGCTTTTGACCCAAAAAAAGGGGTACAAAGGCGGAGAAAACGGGGTCCTTTGAGGGTCCAGGTAACCAAGGGCGGCCTCACGGAAGCCGAGGCTTCCAAAAATCTTCATTCGTGTCAATTCGCGTCGAGCGTTTTCGGGGCTGGGAAGCATCTGGCACCCAATTTGTGGACTGGCAATTCTAAAATAAGCACTGCGAACTTGAGAGTAAGTCTTGGCACTACTAAATTTAGAGACTTGGCAAATGGCAAGTCTAACTTACGGGGCTCTGAGATCAAGTCGTGGCAAGCCCAAGTCCCACCCAAATTCCCCCCACTAAAGAGGGTGCCAGAGACTGGTGGCACTGTTTGGTTGCGGGGTCCAAGAAAGGTCCCACCTTGCCACCCCAATTTCTGCCTTCCGCGCCACGCGCCTTCCGGAGAGCCTCGTCCACGGCGTCCAGGAAGCTTTGCGACACCGCGCCGCCTCGTTTCGGAGCAACGGATCGATCGCCTCCGCTGGTGGCGAGAATCCAATCGCTGGCCCTGCGAACCTCCCTCGGCCGGTAGATTTGGGGAGATGGTTTTCTGGGGCAAACAAAAGCCAACTTGGTTGAGAATGAAAAGGAAAAAAAGGGAAAGGGCATTTGGAGGAAGGGCCCTGTTCCACTTGGTTCACAGGAAAACCACGCGGAGTTTATGCCCAACAACGTCGATGGTGTCGGTGTGTCTTCTTGAATTTCTCTCTCCGGTTGTCTCATTTAAACTCTGACCGGCAACTTTTGGAGAGCAAACTCCAGGCCAAGAACTCACTTCCTGAGTGGACTGGCCAAAACCATCCAAACTTGTGGTTTACCACTACCTGGAGTCTCCAAAACCCTTAACAAAATGAGTCAATGACCCATTTTGTTGGGTAGTGACCCCATTTTCAAGTGTCATGGAAACTCCAGGTAGGAGGATCCAACCCCAAGTGCAAAGTCCAAGGAGTGAGAGAACCATGAGTTGTTGGTTCAGCTCCCTTTCATTGGTTTGGTTTGGAATCTGGGGCGGTTTCTGGCTTGCCCTCTGCAACAGCCAGGGGGTCAAATCCCCCAGATCAATCCCAACCACCCTGTTCTTGGGGACTACAACAAATACACACACGTGCCCCAACTTTGGCACATAAACCCATACGCCATCCCACTGCAAAAAAACATGTCTTTTGGTGCATGTTTGGCAAAACGTCGGTTTTCCACCGGAAATACCTCCTTGTGTCGCCAGCAGTTGACATCATACCATGAAAAATGTTGGTTGCCGGCAGGAGCAGTCAACGAGGTTCACTTCCACGGGCCAAGAGCTACCCCCTACACCCAATACCCGCCTTTTTTTTCACGGTATCATGTCGACCCTCTACTAAAAAAGGTTTGGCATTTACCATGGAAAACCAGTTTTCCCCAAAAATACCCGGAAAAAAGCGGGTATGTTGAGTAGGGGGCATGCGTTGAGTCACGGCCTGTGCGCCAAAATCGGGCCCCGAACACTTTGTGAGCGTTGCCTTGTCCGATGCTCACAAAAACCTGAAAACCAATCGATGGGGTCACGAACGGTCCCCCAAGCACGAGGGACCTGGAACTGCTGGGACTTTTGGAACAGAGAATCATGCCAACCCTCACAAAACAAGGGGTGCTTGCCACGAAACAAACATGTTTCTAGAAACTGTTCCCAAACAAGCGGACACCCAACCACGAAGCCAACTAGACAGCTAACACACGACAAAAAGCTCTGGAACCGGACGAACGGGAGCCCCCCAAGTAAACTAGGTCCTCCAGGAAAAAGGTTAGAATAAGTTGGTACCATATGCTTTTTGTTCTTTTTTCTCTGTCGTCTATGTTGGTAGGGGAGCCCTCCCCCCAGAAAAGGGGAGCGAAGGGCACCGATCGCCGAGGCTCTGCTGACCAGCTCTGGTGGCCATGCTGCCACCGCCAACGTCACCTGCGCCTGGAGTGGGCGAGACTGGGACCAAATCTGAGGCATCAAGCTACCTGGACCCCCAAAGGACCGATTCCTTTTTTCCGCCTTTGACCAACAAAAGAAGGGGTGCCTTGAGGCAGAAAAACGGGGTTGGACCGATTCCGATTTTTATTCTGCCTCTGACCCAAAACATAAGAATCAAAGAAACAAACAGAAAGCCCGGCTTCCAGGCGTTCCCCCACTTTCCGGCAACCCTTGAGTAATAAAAAGGTTTTACTCAATGGGTTCTTCCGGCCATGGCGAAACGCTTCCAGAACTCCGGACCCACGGCGCGAACACTCGAAGAGCTCTCTGTTGGCTCGAGCTCGAGTTTCGAGCCTCGGATTCCTTGAGCCCCATGTCGGGTTTCGGTCGAAACCCGAATCGCCGGCTGCGTTCGACGGCTTACCGGGCACAGGTGGCAAACCCTGCCGGAGCCGGAGTTGTCAGTGTCCGACATTGGGGGGCGGGGGGGCTTCCGCTGGTCCAGAGGGACATCGTTTAGATGTTGGCCGTATTTAACCATTATTAGCAAAACAGGCCGAAACCCCATGCTTTTTGCCGGTTCTCAGGGTCGACTATATGTTTTTGGTGGGTTCACTCGAGGTGGTTCCCGAACACCGCTTATTCACTGAGAACCTGCTAAAAAGGCAAGAGAGGAATACCCATGAAAGTATCCGACAAAGGAAGCGACCAAGGGGGTGCCATGATATTCTATTCTGCTGGCTTTTCGGAGGTCACAAGTTCGTCAGACCTTGCCAGTGGCAAAGCACAGGGCTATGCTGATTCACCAGCTGGCGAGTCGAGCCGAAATAGCACTGCTATCCTTGGCACAGACATGATCACCCCACGTCACTAGAGACCCGTCCTCCACAAGGGCTGCAAAAGCAGAGTTAGTAGCTTGAATATGCTGAACACGCACCAACTGCTCTCGCACCTGGCTGCTGTCACCGCCACACTTTGAATGGCCCCAAGTCACAACCGAGCCATCCTGCAGGATCGCAGCGAAAGCACGACTGCTTGCTTGGATCTGCTGCACCCGCACCAACTTCTCTTGCACCTGGCTGCTATCACCGCCATGCTCAGGATCTCCCCATGTCACTACAGAGCCGTCGTCTAGAATGGCAGCAAAAGCACGCTCAGCTCCTTTGATCTTCTGGACACGAACCAGCTTCACTTGCACCTGGCTGCTGTCGCCACCAAAGCCACGATCGCCCCAAGTGACAACAGAGCCGTCGTCCCTGATGGCAGCAAAAGCACGCTCAGTAGTTTGAATCTGCTGAACGTGCTCCAGCTTCTCTCGTACCTTGCAGCTGTCACCGCCAAAGCAAACATCGCCCCAAGTAACCACAGAGCCATCCTCCAGGATGGCAGCACAAGCTCCAGAATTTGCTTGGATCTGCTTGACACGCACCAGCTTCTCCTGCACGAAATGGCAGAAACCGCCAAGGCCACCCCAAGTAACCACAGAGCCATCCAGCCGTATGGCAGCAAAAGCTTGGGCGCTTGCTTGGATGTGCCTGACGTGCACCAGCTGCTCTTGGAAATCCCTGCTATCACCACCAAAGTTAGGACTTCCCCATGTCACCACAGAGCCATCGCCCAAAATCGCAGCAAAAGCCCATTCTGTGGCTTGGATCTGCTGGACGCGCACCAACTGCTCTCGCACCTGGCTACTATCACCCCCGTACACACGACTTCCCCATGTCACCACAGAGCCGTCGTCCAGAATGGCAGCAAACGCCCATTTTGTTGCTTGGATCTGCTGGACACGGACCAGCTTCTGTTGCACCTGGCTGCTGTTGCCGCCACACTCAGAGTGACCCCAGGTCACCACAGAGCCATCGTCCAGAATCGCAGCAAAAG